GTAAGGCTTTGCCTGCCTCTGTCCAGTGTATGATTCAGTAATAACCTGGGTGACATTCTCTGTCTTCTGTCTCTGAGTTTGTGTGTCTTCGTCTTGATTGCTGTCTCTGTTGCAGAATATTTTCCAGCTGCTGAGGCACAGAAGGGATGGAGGCACCTAGGAAGGGAGATTGTTACCTCTTAACTAGACACCGTCGTCACCGACTCCGCTCAGTTCGGCCCTCATCAGACCCAGCAACACTCAGCTATTAACTACATGGTCCTCATTTACACTCCATCAGCTACAACCTGAGAAGCTACCCCTGATACATGCAAACCAGAAGCATCTGCAAAGGAACAAATCGAATAAGCATAAAAAGCTATAGACACATGTACCAGAACTTTTGAATCCAGCACATCATAATCATGCATTAAGCAGAGCTCTGTCAAAAAGAAATGAGGCCTCTATAGACTTAAACTCATGGATTCATGCAAGCCTTCTTCTTATTGGCAGGGACTTGAAGTGGAATGTGACTTGTACACATGAGGAGGTTTTGAGCCTCTTCTAAAGTAGTCCCATCGGGAACAGAATGCAGAAGTAAATAAGGAAATATCGGACTAACAAAGGGAAAGTTAAAGCTGTCTGTGCTCGCAAAGGGGAACAGATTACACATGATCAGCATTATTGAGGGTTGACAACAGGAAGACACTTAGCTTCTCAATTTATGGATCAGAGCAGCAGTGTCTTCTTTGTCTTTTTTTTGCCAGTTGTTAGCGTGCCAATGTGTTTGTGCATGTTAACAATGCGTGTAAGGGGGCCCTAAAAGGCAAGGGGCCAACCTGAGGCAAGGCCCTAAGAATGTAGGTCACAGCTTAATTATGTCATAGACATGCATTTTCATCTGTTAACCGCTAAATTTGCATTTATTAAAGAAAACTATTAACATTGTAATGTGGCAAATGAGAGAAGAGAGAGAGAAAGCAGATGTTTTGTAGGATTGTTAGAGACATTTTTCATCCAGAGATTTAGCTGCACAGTGCACACAGCTGCGAGGAATTGACACACGAGCAGGAACACATTAAACTTTAGACTAATGTTGCACTTTATCCAACAGTATTACCAGCTTTCAAATGTGGAAAATGTGACCTAAGAAGCAGATAGTGAGCATAATACTGGAACTAGCCTGCACTTAGTTTACATTCATTCTTGACTGACTTGACTACAGTAAAATTATGTACTGTATTATCAAATGGTGTGTGCAGCGTGCAGAGCCATGCATTACATTTTTCTGTATTTATAGTATTATGTGAACACTCCATGCTAATATTTTGATGCCATTGTAGAGCAGCAGTGATGTGGAGCACTGATCTGTAGTACAATATGTTTAGTGTGTATTACCCATAATAGACAGCAGGGGTCCTTCTCTTCCTGTCTGCTCTCTTGCAGGCAGTGATTACTTTGCTTCTGAGAACTCCCACAGGATTTATAATAGGCCTGTTATTCAGATGGCAGCACTATCTATCTCTGTGGTCCTTCTACTGTTAAACCACTCGTGCACTCCAGATTCAGGTTAAGTGGGAAGAGGATTTCTTAGCGAAAAGGGCAGCTTGCACCCTTCATCAACATGATAGATAGGAAGATAACTGCACATTCACTAAAGGCTTTGTAGTAACTGATCACATGACTGCAGTGTAACGTAATAATAAACCGCGTAATTGAATGTCCCTCTAAATGAGCCCGGTTAATGTTCTCATTCCTAGAATGTAATAATAATAATGTAATAACATAATTATCCGATGACGCACTAGTGACTTTAGACTGACGAATAAATAAAATATAATATGATGTAATTTACAGGTTATCGCCTCATGAAAGCTTCACACATTAAATATTCATCACTTAGTGCAATTTTGTGATGTTACTACCTTATTCACCAAATCTAAATAGCTTTATTGTATTATCAACTCATTTAGAAGGACATTTTGAAGATTCTTACTGAATCTGAAAGATATTACATGTTCAGTTGCTTCTAGATTTTTACAAGATGAGCCCTCCCATTTATGCAAAATCACATGTAAGATAATCAAACTGATCCTCGAGGCAAAGATGGTCAGGTCATGTGATCACAATATGACGCCAATAATATTCAATTATCTCCCAGCCCTAATCCCTAGCTCGTAATGAGAATATCAATAGTATTTTTTGTTATCTACAAGCAAGTAAAGAGTAATAGATTGACATCAATGGCCCTTTCTAAAGGGTGCTTGTTATAACAATGGTGCTGTTCACAAAAGCCATTTTGGGTGATCAATGAGCTTCAGCAGACCTTGGTGGGTGTGTAAAAGAGGTTTAATTGAATGTGTTGAGCCTTGAATTGAGAGATTGAATGTGCATTCCTAAAGACCAAACGTATTTCCCAGGATTCTTGTCCGTTTACTGGACCGTGTCCGACATGTTCGATTGTCTGACATTGCGTGATCTGCCCCAAGTGTGCGCACCCCCCTCTCTCTCTTTCTCTCTCTCATTCTGACTAAAGTTAAGTGTCACTAACATTATTTATTTCAGTAAGATACAATGTTAAATTCAGCGTCTCTGTTGTTAAGTTTTTCACCTGATACGGTTTGGCTTTCAGAGAGCCATGCTAAGACGAGGATTGACAACCTGCAGATTCTTTGACATGTTGAAATGTAAAATTTAAGACAAAGTGTTTGGTTACGTCGCTTACTGTAATAAATTGTAACATATTCTTTTAAATAAAACGATTTATTGATGCAAAGTTAGGTGTTTGTTTTGTGGGTCTGTGTGTACCTGAGACAACACCAGCAGGTGGGAATTGAGAGTCAAGGACTGCTAAAATCATGAAGTCACACACAAACCTCTCAGTAAGAAGAGATTATCCTAAAATAAAGATGATTTTACGCTCATTCTCCCACTCTCCCTTAGTGTACCCACATCTGTTTTCTTTTTCGTCTCTCTCTCTGCATTGCCCTCCTATTCCCATCTCCAGCGTCTTTTAATGAGATCTGGGAGACAATTACCCAACAGGCAGTGAAACAGCCGTTCCATATCGACCTGCATCGAGTGCCTGCACCCAGTAATTAATAGCTATTGACTGTTAGTGGTGAGGGATATTCTCCTGGAACATCTGAATTTTGAAAAGATAACATCTCTGGACCAGAGATCTGTCCTGAGAGATGTCTTGCACATTGTCGGACGTTAGTGTTGATCAGTTTCATACCTTGATCATTGGTGCCCTGAAGGGAGGGATTAAGCTGAAGTGTAATTTAAAGGATAATTTAATAAAAGAATAACATCCCTAAAACAAAACAAGTTGTTGCTGAATTGCAGCTACAACTGAGGTTTTGATATTTAAAATGTAACATTAGCAATCTGAAATATTCAGCCGCATTACATTGGTGCAGCTTCTATGTATATATGGTATTTGCATGTTATCCCTGTGCTGGTGGGCTTTCTTCAGTTTCCTCCTACTTTGCAAAGACATGTCAAATCAAGAGGATTTGTGGAAAACCTGGCAACCTGTCTGTGATGTCCTCCTCTTCGCTTTTAAAGTGGAAAAACCTGACTGAATAGAAATAGGCCTATAAAGTAACTAAATACTGTGTAGTCAAAGCTTTCTTTCAGATTTCAGTAGTTCTTTGACATTTTTTAATCAATTAACTTATAATAAAATACACCATTTTCAACTATTACTCCCTTCTTTTATCCTCTGCCTTTCTTATTTTTCCCACATGAGCAAAGTCAATTAAGTACTGCACAACAGAACAGCACTGACTGCACAAGCAGCAGTGTAAGTGAGTGAGAGTGTGTGTGTGAGAGCTGGAAAGACATAAAGAGACAGAGAGCTTTAGGGGTATGTGTGGTTACTGCATTAGGTCTGCCGCAAGGTCCTCACTTCACCACTTCATGTGTGAGTGGGTTTGTGGTTGTGCTGCTTCATGTGTCTGTGAATGTGGGTGCAAATTTGTGGGACAACTGCAGCCACACATTGCGGTGGCCCCTTGATACCAAATGCACACTTTCTGCATCGCAGTCTCCTGCTTACTGAATGCTGTTTTGTATAACTCGATTTTCTTCTCCTCTGAACAACCGGCTCTGCATGAATTGTCAACAAAGAGCAGGTGGATGACTGAGTCACCGCAGGAGGGGAGTATCTTAGATTTATTACCTGTGCTGTATTGCATCTCTCAGCTGTGTTAAGCAGCAGCCCTGGTAGCTGCACGGACAAAAGGAGCTCAGTAGGCCATTTAAATGTTCCAATAGTGAATAGTGAACTGCCTTGCCTGCACACACAGTACTTACAATGAAAAAGTTAAAAGCCAAATGAATAGCCTCAGGACTGAAGGTTTGAGTACAACAGTGCCAAGACACCAATTAGCCAAATTCAATCATCATAAAGTGTTTGCATTATTTCATAGTCAATCATTTTACATGGGAATGTTTGCCAGGATCCGTCACATAAATTCTGATAAAGACACCCTTTGCCAATTCAGAATATATGTCCAGTCACCCCTAAACGCAGGTCTAAGTACAGTTTAGCAGCAGCAGCAGCTTAGAGGAGGAGGGGGGATTCACTCCTCTCCTCTCCCCTCCTCTCCCCTCCTCTCCCCTCTTCTCCCCCTCTTCCTCTCCCTCTCTCATTAATGAGCAATCAGTTAAAAACTTTATCGGCTCCTATTTGCTTTCTCAGCACATTTTCTCCTCCCTCTTCTGTTTCTCTCAACCATGCAACCACCTTATTTCTGTGCTCGCTTTCATTCTGCATCCTCTCCATCTCTGTGCCTCTGCATAGCCCTCCCTTCCATCTCTCTTTCTGTCCCTTTCTTCCTTTTGCCCTCTTTATTGCCGTGCTTCATTACCTCCATCTTCCCTTTCCTCTCTCTCTGGTATTTTTTCCGCTCATACCCCCCTTTCCTTCACTCCTCCTGTCCTCTGTTTCTGCATCTTTTTTAAACTTCGATCGAGGGCAGGGGAGCCACAGAATAGAACATTTGATGCATGTCTAGAGAGTACAAAACATGAGACAGTTTATTTCACCATGTTTACAGCTCGGTCTGTCACATTGGCATTTCAGTTCTGCGAAATGTACGGTAGGATTTACATTCCTAACCAGGGTCGTGGAGATTAGCATGTTCTGCATACATAAAGGTGTGAGTGGATGGGTGAAGGTGTGCTATGGTGTGTGTATGTGCATTTATAAGATAAAAAGTCTCGTAAAAAGCTAACGTGACCTATAATTTCTAGCCTCTCTCAATCACAGTTTGCAATCTGAACCCCATACATGTGTATGTGTCTGTAAATATGTCTCCACAGAAAGACAATAGCATCCCACATTACGAATATAACCAGAGCTTTGACATATCTGTTCTAGCTGTGACTGTGGAACTGTATCCCATATTCAGAAGAAGACAGAGACAGTACTTCACCCAGCCCTCTCAGATGAGATATCATGTTATTGCTTTATATAAAGTGAATGACAAAGGTAAAAAAAATACTCCCTATAGCTGTATGATGCATGTTTTTCTAGGGATATAAGTACATTTTCTGCTTCATTGTAAACATTACAGTATAATATGAAGTTAGCGTGATTGATACAGGTGCTGCAGAAATTGATCAAATGTCATCATCCCATTATATGGGCAATGTTCAGGCTGTATTACTGTGATAAAGATTTTCCTTTTTATGTTTTTGATCTCAGGTGAAAAACTACTGATCACATTTGATGCATGTCTAGAGAGTACAAAACATGAGACAGTTTATTTCACCATGTTTACAGCTCGGTCTGTCACATTGGCATTTCAGTTCTGCGAAATGTACGGTAGGATTTACATTCCTAACCAGGGTCGTAGAGATTAGCATTTTCTGCATACATATTTCCTTCAATAGTGAAACAATACCAGATTATTCATTATATTTGGTGAAGTGTGTAACAAAAGAGCACATGGAGGTATGTGTTGTTCCCACTGATAATCAATGTCAAGTGAACATAATCAGTTTTAATTGTAATTCTGAAAGTAAACTGTGAAATGAATCCTGCATGAGTGTAAAAGCTCATTTTACATGCATCAGTGTCAAGTTTTTCTACTGAGTATCTTCATGTAGCATCCCAGGATGGCAGTACAAATACTTTATAACAAATGTAATAAAGTCATGCGTTTTTCACATAAATTCTGGGATGATTTTTCTTTGAGATTCCTCATTCACAAAACTATTAATAATAATAATAATAATAATAATAGTAAATAATAATAATTTCCTCATAAAATTATTGATGATTTTGTTGATTAGTCCACAAACTATTATCCATCTCCCAATGAGACATTTGATGTTCTGATGAAGGTTTTAGTTTGGAGGCCATTAGTTGAAAATAAAATTCACCAAACCATTAGATGATTGATGGAGTGCCATCTTTTGGAGAAAACAAGCACATCAATCGAATTTCTATAGAAACCACTGCAACAAGAATAAAAGTGAGCATGGTCAGATATATTCCGTCATGAAAAATGGCAGACTTTTCAAAAAAAAAATATTGCAAAATATTGTAATGTTTGTGAATCATAGTCCACTCCACATATGCCACTCCAGCTTACTGAAAAGGAAAGATTTGCTGTTGTATGTCTCAGTGTCATTAACAGCAATTGTGCTTCCAACAAATCCATATCTGTATTATCCCTCAACATCTCTCATTCGCTCTCTCAAATCTGTCATTTTTGGTCTCTCAGAGGAAGTCTTTTGACAGTGCTTCTCCAAAGTTGGGAGCAGCCATGAGAATAGCGATGGTACAGATGATGTTGAAAACACTGAATCCCACCAGGAACAGGCGGTCGATGACAGCTGCAGCAAACTGCCACTGCTCCGCCAAACTCAGCTGCCTGTCTTGCTCCCTAACACGCTCAACTAAGAACTGCACCTCCACCAGAAGAGCCTGCAACTGGCTGTCTGCTGCCACAGATCGAATCACACCGCTATGGGTATGTATGGCAGCTGACCTCCCTGCTCCAGCTGCAGCCTCTAGGCCACAGGGTCCAGAGGATGTGGTTGATGGGTCAGGGTCTGGGGACACCGGAGTTTCCTGTGGGGGGGTCCCAAACTTGGAAGATGGGTGGTGGTGATGGATAGGTGTATCTCCCGACACTCCTCCTGCTCCTGCTGCTGCTGCTCCCTCTCCTTCTCCTCCACCTAGTCCAGTGTTAACCCTCCCATAACTTGTGGTTCTGCTCCTCTGAACTGGGTCCAGCTCTGCAGTGGTCTGGAAGGTCTGGAAGCCCATGTAAAGAAGATGACCATTGGGCTGTGGGTGTGGATTGAGGCTGGGATCTCTGTGGTTGGTATTAGGGAGGATGACAGCCTGAGGGTTAGGCCGGTGGGAGTGTGACAAAGGGTGGTTGAGCTGAGCCAGGCTGGCCTGCAGGGAGTTGAAGCTCTGTGGGAGGATGGGGGGCACTGGCGTAGGGATGGTGGTGGTGGTAGTGGTGGTGGTAGGAGAGGACAGGGTCTTGCTCTGACAATCTGCCTGGCTGTTTGAAAGAGTAGGCTCCGCTCCCTCTCCTGGACGCTTCATCCGCAGGAACCAAGGAACCCACTGCAGCAGAACCAAGTGCACCTGACACACAAGGACACAGGATTTATGTATGGTCTTTACTGGCCTTCAACATATTGCTGATCAGGTAGAAACACATCTAGTATTCTTAACATGCAACATTAAACCTCCAGTTTATATAACAGTTTATCCCAGCTTACATTATCATCACCATATTACTGAGCTTATTTAGTCTTTTTCAATGTGAATGTAATATTATACTTGATATTATATACTTATATTATAATATATACTTGGTTTTGAAGACACTGAAATTCTGATAAAAGCCTTCATTTCATCCCATCTTCAACGCTTTGCATTCCCCTACCTTAATGAAAAATCTCTAGACCAGCTATACAAATCTTATAAAAAGGCTTTTAGATTCCCACTGTCCAGCTGTTCATTTTAGTATCGATTAAAATTTTCTGTTAACGTTTCAAACACTGGAGGACCCGGCACATATTTATCTGTTAAGTCCTTACAAACCTTCACATAATCTGACATCCTCAATCAGTTACATCTTGGCCATCCCAGAATCAAAGATTAAGACAAAGCTCTGGAATGATCTGCCTAAGAATATCAGCTTAACTAAATGTGGGCCCTCCTTTAAATGGCTTCTCAAATCACATACTTTTTTGTATAGTTTACACTGATTTTAAATATTTTATCCAGTCATTTTTAATCAGTGTGTTTTGAGTCTGTCCTTTCTTGTGTTATTGTTTGTTTAACTGTACTATGTGTTTTGGCGGGTTTGTTATGAACTGTTTTATTTCCATAAATAAGGTTTTTTATTATATTTTAATCTATTATTATAATTAAAGTCTTCACATACCTTGAAAATAATTTATGGTTTAGGAGTTAAGTTAATTTATATATTTGAGGTAATTTACTAAAAATATATTGACAATCTTTATACAGTTATTATTTACATATTCCCATGTATGAATCTTTACATAAACATCTAAAGCTACAATATTATGCTGAATCTACCTCTGTGCTTTCCTCACATTTACCTTAGTGTAAGTCCTACTAGCTTCTGATTGGTTAGTTAAGTTACATGAGAGTCAGAACAAGGAAGTGTTGTTGTTGTGAAGCTGATGAAGTGTGGAGAACAGTAAAGTGCTGCTTGAGAAAGTTATCCGTCTCCATCTTGCTGTTTCTTCTCTTAAAGAGTGATCCAACCACCACACATGGAATCCCTGAGACAGTTGTAAAGTTTTTGGACGACATCACCATCAGTGGCCGCATTTTAAACAACAAGACTTTATATCAGGAGGAAATCAACAATCTTGCAGAGTAGAGCACAGAAAACAAGCTACTGCTCAATGTCAACAAAACCCAGGCACCAATTTTAGAAAAGACACACACCCCTGTTTACGTCAGTGGAGCTGAGGTGGAGCAGGTGAACAGTTTTAGATTCCTGGGAATCAGCATAACAGCGAACCTGTCATGGACATAACACGTCTCCATCCTGGTTAAGAAAGATCAGAAAGAACTTCAAGCAGAATGTGTTTTTATTTTTCTCTAGACCAACACAGGGGGTATTTGAATCATAATTTTTCTTCAAATACGAGAATGTTCATGAATGGCCTAACATCCACAAGAAAACCATTAACCAGTTCTGCGTTTGTCTAATGCTGTCAGTGATGATAGTGAGTAATGAGGGTGGGGTTGCTTTATGTGTTTGAACACCAAAATCCCCTCTGGGATAAACAGCGCAACCATTATTATAGCAGAAAACAATGTAGAGTGCGGGGAAAGCCCTGAGATGAAGGGAGCATTGGGCACGCACATCTTGACAACAGACAGTCATAACAGAACTCAGAGGGACAGATTCTGCTTTGTTTTATTCAAGTCAGCGAGCACTACCACAACCTTAACGACGAAAACCCCATCGAGTCTCCAAGGGATTCTGATCCTGCTGAGCTGCACCAACAGTAAGAACATACTGTAAGAAACACAAGACGCTCTAATAATACAATTCACTTGAGTTTTTCTCTCTTTAATGGGGTAGGAAAATTCTACTCAGCAACACCAGTTTTACCGGAGACAAGGTTTTTGTAACTTTTTCAGTAGAGCAATAGAAAGCATCATAAACGGATTACCAATTAGCGTGGGATGAACACGGCCCAGGAATAAATGAAGAATAAATTAACCTTGTAATTTGATTAATAAAACTCACCCAATGTGGCATGTGTCCACTGTTGGGGCTGTGGTGATGGAACTGAAGGACGATGACTGTGGCTACAACTGACATCCCAACAATCACCATGGTGCTGGCAAAGTACTGACCTGAGACAGACAGGATGGGAACACATTACACTCATAAAGGTGATGACAATCCGTATGCTATGAACAATGTCAGTTTCCCCAAAAAACCCACTAACAGAAAGAAACTGACCTATCAGGGGTACAGAATCTGAAGTGGCAGGCATAATCTCTGCAACCATCAGCATGAAGACAGTCAGAGAAAGCAGAACCGTGATGCCTGTGGGCAGACACAAGACACCAGGGAGTAGTAGGTTGCAAGGAAAAAAGTAGGGAAGAAGAAAGTACATGAATACACTCAGTGGAACAGTATATTTGGTATGTTTCACTTGACTTCTCGCCACAATCATCTGTCTTTCTGACACTCCTAGGAAAACTCATTTGATTTTAGTCTTTTAGATTCATCTTCCCTCCTGCCTTTTCTGTCTTTGTCTTTTCTTTGTCCCCCCCCCCCCAGCCCTCCTGACACCATACAAAGCTCTGCATAACCGAATGAAAGTTTTCCAGTAATGTTGACGGAGAAAAATTGTAAGAGAAACACTAGAAGAGTGAAATAAGGCCATGCTTTCACAGGGAAAGAGTAAAGAATATGCAGCAAGAAATATATTTCATCTTGCGATAGGTGCTTCTCCTGTTTCCCATTTGCTCATATTCAACCCCTCTTATTATAACACCATCCATCACCCCTATTCTTCTCCACCCTCTTCTTATGACTCCTCACCCAGGCTGATTTTCTCCCCTGAGTTGGCAGGAAGCAGGAAGACCAGTAGGGTCATGGAGGAAAGGAGCACACAGGGGAGGAGGAGGTTGAGAGCGTAAAACAAAGTCCTCCTTCGTAGAGTCACCACAAAGGTAACATCTGGGTAGGGCTCTGCACAGCAGTCATAGAAAATTTCATGACGACCTCCAGGGACCTCTGAGGGGGCAGAGAAAGACACCGATTCAGCAAAAACAAAATCATAATGCAGAACACAGGGGTGAGGGCTGAGAAAGAAAGAAAACACAAAAAATCTCAGAAACACATTATAAATAATGAAGTGTTTCAACCAATGAATATTTTTGACTGGGTGAGAAGGAAATGGGATGTATAGTGTTGTGAAATGAGATGCACATTAAGAGAAGTCTGACACAGGACCAGCATCATCAAAGATGTTGCAGCTGAAGCAGAGACAATTAAATACACACATAAGGCAAAACTCCAACTACTTCTCCTACTTAAAGCTTATTATACATCCATATCTTCACAGGTCAAGTACAGCACTGCATGGCGGTAATGTAAGCACTGTTACTAAGCAACTCTGTTTGTCATTCAGGGCCTCAAGAAGCTGTCTTACCCAGCAGGTCCCATTCTCCGTTGCGCATGTATCCTGACACATCTGCCTCCTTCATCTGGAGGTCAAGCAGCCAGCCATCAAATGTCCATGAGCCAAACTTCAGTTCACACCGCTGGATGTCAAATGGAAACCATCGCACATCCACGTTACACGTGCTTATAAAAATTCCTTGAAAGGCAGGGAAAAACAGGGGAAATTGTTTGCAATGAAAGAAGAGAACATCTCAAAGTCAAGTAAAATCATCTAAAAATGTAATGAAGGGAAAAAAAACTTGATTAAAAATGTTCAGTGCAGCCATCTGGAAGTAAGTGACGAAGAAAATATTTGGTAATTAAATTGCTGCAGCATGAATAATACTGTATATGTATGCAGAATGACTGAAGGCATATTGGTTTTAAGGACAAGATTCTGATAAATAACAAACTTACCTGGAGGCAGATACTCACAGAAGCCGCTGGAGTTAACGAGCACATTGGTCTTAAAGGTGGCATCAAACTTATCATGAGCGCTGGAGGACAGTATCACAGTGATGACATTGTTAAGAGCTCAGCAGCAGTAGCTTTGGGTATGTGTTTATGCAGTAAATGTATGTTTGTGCTCCACATACCTGTTGTAAAGCAATATGTCGGGTGTCCAGACCTGGTCAGCAGTGAAACGGAGGTTCTTAACTCCAGGATATTCTGACTGGTTCCACTGGAGGTAGTGGTCGTACCACTGCTGGGAGACACAAGCACAACACTAGTTTTACATAATGAGCAAAAACATGAAGACATAGACAAATAAAGGGTTTATTTGCAAAACAAGATAACTCTGTTTTTATTTATTTTCCAAAATAATGATATTTTTTGTGCACTATCAATCAAACCGCTGCTGGTTTACTCATTTTAAGAATGTCTTCTATCTGTTTTGCAAAGGATCTCTGCAGATTTACATATACAAGGCATCATTTGCATGTCTGTCCGTCCTGAAAGAGGGATCCCTCAGTATGCTATACAGATTGTAAATCCCTTTGAGGGAAAAATTGTTAACTTGACAGAGATAAATAGCTTTTTCAAATCTCAAGATATTCATAATAAATAAAGGAATCTGCACCAAAGAATAATGTCCATTATCATGACACTGCATACTGAAACCCAACCAGCATCTTGGTGCGTACTGTGTAGCTGATCCTGCATGGGATGGGGGGTTTACAAAAAGATTTTCACCACACAGATCAATATCACATATTGAACCGTTATTTTCTATACTCACCATCTGCAGCCAGGCATTCGTGGTGATGATCTGGTTCTTTTCATCCTTGCATAAAACAAAGCATATAAGAGAATAGATGATTTAATGATTTAAAGGGTAGCTTCATACATTTTCATGTCTGCCTAAAACAATACTCACATGAACAGAGTTACTGGTCAGTGTAATAGTCCTACACTCTCTGCAGTGGCTTTGAGGAGATGTGAATATACATATTGTGTATACATGGATTGTTCTGTTTAAAGTGTATTATCTTGTGATTATCTTAATGCTCTTGGTTGGTTTCTATTTTTTAATATATTCTTATTTTAGTTTTATATACCTCTTATTATATACTTTCTCTTTTTATTATTGTGCTGCTCCAACAACCGAATTCTCACTCTGGGGATCAATAAAGGCATAACTTGTGATGTGATAGGGAACAAAATCTACAGTCCTCATTCTGTGTAAAAACCCATTCCCAAGTTCAGCTAAAGTGGATATTTACAATAGTTACCGTCTTTTTAGTGTGAAATTCCCTCTTTGTGTCATAATTATCTGCTGCAGCTCAACAAGGAAACACCAACCATTGAAACACATGCTAAAAAGTTTGGGAGATACCTATTTCATTTGGCTAATTCAGATTGATGAAGCCTTGTATCAGCTTCATCTGAACTTTAGGATTTATTTTTAAGAGGGGATCTTTTCATATGGAAAGAAAGAACAATTACTGCGACCAATAACTCTTTGTGTACATAGGCATGTCAGTATTGTATGGGTGTATAATTGTGTTTTATGATGCATTTCTGCCATGCATACCACATCCATGACCTGCATAAGAGTAAAGGAGAACTGAACGGTGAGAGCCTGGGAGTCGTTGGCCACCGGTCTCTCCATGGGGTTGTAGTCCCTCAGCAGCTCCCTGAGTAGAAACCGCTGGTGAGGACCCTGCACTGATACTGAAAATGGGAGCGGGAGAGGGAGTTTAATGGGAGGGAGAGGAATCATAAAAGAGAAAGCAAGAAAAAAAGTGACATTTACAAAGAAAACACTGTGTTATTACAGTGATAGCTGAGAAAAAAGTGGTGTAGAGATTGTAAGGCCAGGTCAATAAAAGAGAAGGAGAAACAACACAGTGGGAGTCGACATGCTCCAGTGGAGGTAAAACGGAGGGTGGGCTTTTAGGGTAGAGTAGGAGAGGGTGATGTTTTAAAAATGGAGTTGCTCATCTTGATTAGAGAACAGAGATCTATTGTGGATGACATGGGACAAGAGAAGAATGTGCGCGAGAACGAGAGGAAAGGGGGCAGGAAGAAAAAAATCCTGTTCCTTCTAATCAATTATGTCTCTGATTGATCACTAGAAGACAGTCAGAATCTTTCCACGGCCGTAAAATTTGTCAGTTTCATTCCATGCAGGAAATAGTGAGGCCATTAAACACTGAAACACCCCAGACAGACAGACACACACAGCACTCACGACGATGAGAGTGGGGAACTGTCTCTCTTCGCCCTATAACTCCACCATGGCCTTCGATTCACTCTTGATTCATTCTCCACAAGGCAATCACTTTGATGTGGAGGGAGCTATCATTGGCGAATATAAGAGGCACGTCGAATGAGTTTAAAAAGTATTATGCACTTTAAATAGCACAATGCACACTGCCTGTTCATACCACTTTATAAACTACACACAATAGTGTATATACAACAGAGCACTAAATGGTCTAAGATGCATTCAGTCAAATCTATATTCACTAACTAGACCTTAATTAATGACTCCACTAATGGTATGCCCATAATTCAGAATAATAGTCCCTAGTGTCCATAATGTCCAGTCATAGTAAATTAACCACTAGCAGCCTCATAATAACCCTTTTCCATCCATTTATCTATCCATCTATCTATCTATCTATCTATCTATCTATCTATCTATCTATCTATCTATCTATCTATCTATCTATCTATCTATCTATATTCTTATCTATAACACAAAAAATGCAATCTGCAGTAAAGAGGATTGCATTTTATAGTGTTGCTTGGTCATTTTGAAAATAAATCAATTTTTTTCTGTCTGGCTGCACACCAACAGACTCTCCTGGTGACTAAGTGAGCTGCTGTGTGCACAGTTATTAGGAACAGAGCACTCGGTGGCACAGACAAGCAAAAGCACAGCACAGTATATACAGCACATGCAGAAAACACACACTTGTGCGAGCACAGTCTCACTCATGGCACAAATGAAAGTCACTCACCCCGGAACAGAGTCACGAGTATCAACAGCCAAAGAGCCATAGCTTGCCACATACTGCATTCCTCTGTGTCAACAGAGAAAGAATGGAAGAGGGAGAAATAAGGAGAGAAGATGAGTGTGAGGATGGAAAAAAGGAGAATGAGATAGAGATCAGAGACTGGAGAGGAAGAAAGGTTGTAAAAAAACAAGTGGAGAGAGTGCGCTACTGACAGTGCCACAGGAGGGAAAGGAGGAGAAAGGGAGAGGGAGAGAGAGCAGGAGAGACAGAGTGGGTGAGAAATGCAGTGAAACGAATATTCCTCTGAAGAGAGAGATGCTGTGTGTTGGAGTCACAGAGCTGTATAGGCATACTGTGACCTACAGCTCAAACTGAAGGGTGCTTCATGCTTCTCTGCTCATCACCTCCTGCAGACTCTCTGATATGTACTTATCTGTCACCCTCTGTCATTTTACCATGGACCCATTGTTTTTTCCTCAGGTTGTCAATCTGGATCTCAAGAGGGACTTGTGAAAATCATCTAATTCTTAAAGGATTATATGGTAGCAGTAGTCCAGGTGTCTTTAGCTGAGAGTTTGGGAAGGGAATAAAGAAAGACAAATAACGTTTGCTCTGTGTAAACACACAAGTGACCTACAAGGAATCTTCCATTCCAACATCTACCATTTCTAAATAATAAACACATGGAAACATCAAAACATTTTAAGTTATTTCTGTCTGTCACTTTCTAATTTACACCAACCAGCATCATCTGAGCTGTACGGCTTTTTAACTAGTCAAATCACACATCGGTGCATTCACAGAGTAATGCTGACACCCACTGGATATGTTAGTAAAGTGCAAAACTATCACCAGATATATTCTTCAAAATTGTTTTTATTTTTTTGAAGGCAGCTTTATCACATGGTCAGAATTCACGTGAATAGATCTTGTTTCTCTATTTTATTATGAGTTGATAGCATTTACCGTGAGCACATTTCTCTCATTTATTCTCCTGTAATAAATGTGTGATGCCCACAAAACTAAAGACATTGTGTCAGAGCAGTCTGATTTTAATGACTTTTAAAATATAACTAGTTCAAAAATAACATATAAACATACAGAATAGGTTTATGGATTTATCTTATTATCTAATAATTTGTATTTCCATTTCCAAATGCTCCACAACGTTTTGCTGTAATCCTGTTTTAAAGTTAATTACTGTTGAAAATGATATAGAATATTGAAATACAATATATGATATGATGAATAAAGCAGTATCTGCTATGACAAGTAACTTCAGTTTAGAAATAACAGCAGTATATTCCAAAGATTTATTCAAGTCTCTACCACTCACATCCATATATGAGGGTGACAAACTATAACTAAATGATAAAAACTGAGCAAGAAATTAACTAAATAGGAGACACAGCCTGACTGACCACAAACTGGCCACTGAGACAGGTTGACACAGACAATCCTCACAATCCACAATACTCAGACAATAAACTCAGTTCAAAAAGGGGCCGAGATTTTGCAAGCTCTTATTTTTTAATTTCGTTTAAAGACTAATTTGGAGTCTTTGAAACAGCCTTCCGCTTTCATTAAAACGCCGCCCCACCACAGACAATTTTAGGACAAAACTCAAGTTTTCCATGGTTTTTGATTGTTCTTAGATTTCGTTTTTCTGTTAAATCTTTTCTTTTACCTTGTTCTTACAAGTCTTGTTCTGTCTCTATTTTTACATCCGTGCACATATTTGTTATTGTCTTAACATATTTGTTTTTCTTTCTTTCTTTCTTTCTTTTTTATTGTCTTTTATTGGCGTTATGTGCCTTTTTTTTTTTTTTTTTTTTTTTTAAGATGCAATTCACTTTGGTCAACTCTGGTTGTTTTAAATGTGCTTTAAAAAACACATGTAACTACTATGATCGAGCCGATGAAGCACAATAGAAACGTCAGCGAGGACGCGTCCGAAAAATAGTCGAACCTTGCCGGTGAGGCCCGCGTCATCCGCGTGCGACGTGTTAGCTGTTTGTCTCGGTCGCGGGCGTTTCGCGTCACTTCTTTGATTGTTTGTATGGTTTATCGCCGCATTAAAATATTGCACACCAACACGAGCCCACTGAGGCGAAAACAAAAAAAACTCCGAGTCAAGGTAACCAACCAACGCGACTGGTGTTGTTTGAGTCGTTGTGTGTGCCCCGGGAGAGGAGCAGGGTGTGTGTTTATGTGTTAGCAGACAGAGAAAGAGGCTGTGGTTGGAAATGGTGCAGTGCCAGTGCGGTGTACTGCTGCTAGTGGTGAGCTAACGTTAGCAGGCGAGCTAACGGCGTCCAGTTAGCCGCCGCTAGCTGCACACGTTGTCCTTTAAATGTGGCCGCACCGGGACACACTCAGAAAGTTAGCAAACCCGAGCACATGTGTCGGGTTGGAGGAGGTTTAAAGCATCCCGTTTAATCTGTCGCTGTTGGGAGTTAAGCCTTTTAGCTCAATGTGTTTTTAAAGAGAACAAAAAAACCCGCACCTGTGTTGTTTTTCTTTAAATTCGGTGTCAAGTAAAAGCAAATGATAACAGCAAGGACTTTCATCCGTTTCCCTGCAAGTAAATAACCCTTCTAAAATAATCCCTTGTTGGAAATGTTTCCATTTCTTTCGACTCACATGATCCTCAGTGACAGATGGATTAAAAGTGTCAGGTTATATATGGAACTTGTACAAGGTAAAAGGTATGTTCAGAAGAAAATAGCAGTGTTTTTATTTCCGTGTATCCTGTCAAACTTTTATCACAGTACGAGTTTGTGTCGTCCAGATTAAGTGAACGACTGTTTTTATACGGATCCTAACGCTACATGGCTGAATAGCTTTAGTAATATTAACAGTGTGTATCCAGTGTTATGTAATGCAGATCGGTACATGTGTGCTTTGTGAATAAAATGTAGAATTTTAAACACATTTTTAATTGAGTGAAAAGTGACACAGATTTGAGATTGAGTTAAATTAACTTTTTAGGGGGTTGAGTGTAATCACTGAAACATGGTTTGACTTTGATTTAACGTTATCTGTCTGAGTGCACGCCTCCCTGCTGTACAACTATAGATAGTTATATAAACCATGTGCCTTTCAGTATGTGTTGCTAGATCTACGTGTGAAAACTGGTTATATTATTATTTCAAGCACAACCTGTGTCTGTGCTACTCGTGTGCTCTAATAGTGACCTTCACCTCATAGTACTCTTGCGTTATTTTCTCCATCCTGTTACAAGAGCTCAGGGTTTTGCTGTGATATGTGTATCTCCCCAAAATGTATTACATTACTACCATCTCGTCTCCATCCTTCTCCCTCCTCCGTTTTATTTTTAATGCGAGAATCTGATCCGAGCCTTGTGATGTCTCCTCTGCCACAGTGAACTGTATGCAGCATGCGTTCAAGAGAGGATGTCCTTGTGGCACCGCAGGCAACACTGATTGTTTGAGTCGGACCGCTTTTAAAACACGGAACAGAAGAGGTTTAAGTACTTTTTTTTTTTCTTCTAATACTTTATTGACAGTCTTTTCTATCTTTGTCTGTCCGTCTGTCTGTCTGTCTGTCTGTGCACCTTCTGTGGGTCACGTGACCGACAATAGAAACCTAACTTTTCGTGAGAAATGAAATCGAAACTTGCTCCCATCTCTGTTGGCCCCCTGTTTCTTCTTACGCACAAGTCAGGCTTTGGATTTTCCCTTTTCTTTCCTGGTGCAATCGTTGATAGTCCCGTTTTTGCAGCATTTATAAAGCGAGCGACCAAACGGGACTTTACTTACTCTGGAAACTGCGGAAAGATCCTCACTCGTCCAAAGCAGGAAAACTCGTCCTTCGCGCTGGAAAACGCTTTGCTGTTTGACAAATTAAGGAATCAGACAGTTTAACAATTTTTAATCTGCAATAGTTTAACAGTTTTTTTTAACCTACAACCAGTGCTTGCTTCATGACTGAAGTTCTGATCTCTGGGAAAGCTACAGGAGCAAATATTCCCTCTGTTTTCACCGCTGCCGCTTTGATTTCAGCTGCTGTAGGTGAGATCTACAATCCTCTGAGCGCACTGGGGCTTGTGCTACCTGACAGTGTGGTGTGTTTTTGGGAGCATGTACCAGGTTTCATTTTCAAGTTGTCAATAGACACAGGGGTCTTGGTGATGGGGGAATGGGTCACTGTGAACATCGAGCTGTGCGTTGGTGCAATTTAGAAGATCTGTCTTGACATGACAGCATGCAAAAGAGTTGATTCATCAGTTGTCAGATGGGTTGTTTTGCCCATGCCTCTGCCCAGGCTCAAAACAGCGAGGAGCATAATGACAGTGGATACTGAAAAACACAGAGTTGCTATTTTGGCTGTCAACTGTTGCCTTGCATCAGGGTCAAGATGAGTCAGCTCCAGCCACGTTTGGGCCCTGGGCTGCCGGCCCTGTCGGCCCCTATTACAGTGATGAACCAACACTATGCTGTTCTCTATTAATGTGGCGGCGTTCAGGCCTGCTCAGCTCTATGTGACAGACCAGTGATGCTGACTGGGCCAGAGGGGATGAAACCTGACTCAGTATTGGGTGTCCCTGTGTTGTCAGTCTCACTGATATAGACATTATTGAGTGTTGTCGGATATAACACTTGAGGCTGAATCGATGATTGTTTTAACATAGGAGGATATTGGAATTCTGGACTGTGCGGTTCAGGATGTGCATTTCTACTCAATTCGTGTTTTATTAAGTGTTTTTGTTTTTGCAGAAGGAATAACTCTAACCCTGTAAAACCTTATCATTACAGCCAGCACTGTCAGCTAGGAACTGCACGGTTTTCTGGGTACAGCTTGCCGCTGACCGACAGTCTTTTTACGCTCTTGTGTCCTTGGAACTTTTTGTCTGCATCAGTGTCTCACTTTTCCTCTCTGCTATGGATCCAGATCCAGCAATAATTTGTAAGGCCAGAAATAAAACAGAATAGTCACAAGAAGGTCTGAATTATTAATCACCACCCTTTTACCCTGGGATTAAGTTTCAGTGTGACTGAAAGAGACAGTATGTCACCCTGCAGTATCCTTGTAGACTGGCTAGGGTATAATCTGAAGATATACACAGCAGTGTTGACAGTGTTGGCGTGTGTTAGAGCCTATCCTCTGCACATATTTTTTTTTTTTCTATCATACCCAGATATTTCATTGTCCGCTGTATATTTTATTATGCGTTTCATGAAAACAAGTGTCCTTCGAGGTGGTACAGATTCACTGACTTATCCAAGGACACGTGAACAGGTTGGAGGATTGCCAGCAGGGCCTAAATTTGTGTTATTGGCTGGAACAACAGTTTCTCTCGCCCTCCTGTTTGCTGCTCATCTTCCACCATTCAGTTATCGTACTTTATTTCTATTTATTAACATTCTCCTGACATTGTCCTATGTTTGTGTTTCAGGTGCTCTCAGTGTGCAATTGGCCTGCCCTGATTTTCCATCAGGGTCTGCTGTTTGTGCTAAAGGACGCACGCTCATACAGAAGCTGCACAGCCAGCTGCACCGGCCCCCTTCACGCTCAACCCCTGCGCTATGAGCAGAGGTAGAGGAGGGCCTTCCAAAGAACACTATCACAGGCATCCACCACCGGACCTCCAGAGCAAGGAGAATTACCACAGTCCTGGTCAAGCCTCATATTACCCTAGACCTGGCCCGCAGCAGCCCCAATATTCAAATTACTACCACAACCCTGCCCGTCCCGCAGTGTCCCTTCAGCCCCCAGTTCCTTCTCTCATTCCCTCTGCCCCACCCATACCGAACCACAATAACGTGGCCCCTAAATCAGTGGCCCATCACAGCTCACAGAACCACGGCCCGATTCCTGGTCCCAATTCCTTTCAGTACCAACAGATAGAGTTCCTAAGAGGGCAGAACTTAGAGGCGCCACAGTTTAGAGCCAGCCCACATAGAGCTGGAGGGGGAGGGGGAGTGGTATCTGGAAGGTGGCCTAGTTCCTCATACCAGCCCCAGTCAGGTTATAGTAGATATCCAAACCTTAACAGCAGCCCAAGGGGTAGAGGGGAGCACAATCAGGACCAGAGTTTTGGATACCCACCCAATGCAAGAGCCCCGCGAGGTACCCCTTCCCCTCGGCACCTGAATCAAAACCAGTTACAAGGTCAAAACCACAGCCAGTACTCCAACAGACAATGGGGCGTCCAAACAGACTCTCTGTCTGAGAGTTTTCAGAGTTTGTCCTTTCATCGAGACAGACCCAACAGAGGAGAGAGGTTTGACAGACATTCTTCATCCAGCAGCTCAGCAAATTTGAGCTCTCATAAAGTTAACAACGCTCTCACTCCTGATGTCCAGGACCAGGTTTACAGGGCTTTGGCTGCTTTGAAGCCAAGTGAGAGTATCTCGGCAAAACTGTTAGCCAAAAAGCTGCATCTTCCTAAAAAGTTTGTCAACCAGGCTCTGTACTCTTTGGAGCGCTCGCAGAAAGCCTCCAAGAAAGGACTCACCCCTCCTGAGTGGACTCTATACAGAGAACCTCTCAGATGCGAGGAAGCTCAAAACTCTAGAGTACAAAGTTCACCTTCCCATCCATGTGTCAGCCTCGGACACCCTCCTGAAGCAAAGGTTGAGCTAAAAACAGAAACAGCGGAAAACTTTCGACAAGCAAAAGAAGAGGACTCTGACACAGAATCCAGTTCTTCTAACTGCTCCTCTTTAGAGTCTGACTCGGAAGAATACCAGTCGCCAGAAAAAGGTCAGCACCAGGCGGAACAACATCCCAGCACTACCAGCTCCCCTGATCAGGAATTTAACTTTCCCACAATGGCAGAGCAGAAGGACCTAGTTCTGAAATACCTCCTGCAATCGCGGGAGGCAACTTCTCTTGTCATAGCCAAAAATTTGGGTCTTAGGACTGCCAAGCAGGTCAATCCCACCCTCTACGCCCTGGAGAAGCAAGGCGAAGTCATTAAAAATGGAGAAGTCAACCCTCCTACCTGGGAGCTCTCTACCCGCCGCAGAGAGAGGATGGAGAGAAGCATTAAAGCTGCACAGAGCACCCCAACGGAGGGAAGTCAGATGGAGGTAGAAACCAGTAGAGCTGAGAAGGGAGGAGGGTCCATCTTTCTTCCATCTACACCACTACCACCAATACCAGGCCTCGAGCCACAGCCACCTCCAGAGGTTTGGATGCCAGAGCAAAGTCACAGTGAAGCGGTAGGTCAACATGCCATGGTAGTCATATGCCAAAAAAGCTAAATATAAGAGCAAAGATTCATTAAAAGGAGGTTACTCCTAATGATAACAATAATAGATTAAATGTATTACTGACGTTTGAGTTATGATTCAAAACATGCCTAGCAATAACTAAATGGGATCTATTTGACCTATAATTTAGCTAAAGTGGTTGCCAACAATTTCTGGATAATAAAAATATTAGAACAACAATACCACATGGCATTTGCAATAGTTTGATATTTTGGGAAATGCACTTAATTGTTGTTTTCAGTATTTATGCTAAGCTAGTGAACAGGATGTGGACTGTAGCCTTATATTTAATGGACAGACATGAGTGGTTGCATGCAAATTGAATAATTGTTCCTTTAAGAGAAAAAGGACACATTTCCGGCCTTGGACTTCTGCCCTGATTTTATTAATTGCTTTACCTCTGCTCTTCCCTTTTCAGGCCCAAACCTCCCTTCAGCCCCCCTCCTCTACCTCATGTAAAGACGAAGAGACCAACGAAGGTCAGTGGGCCACTGACGACATCCCAGAATTCCTCAACGCCATTCGCAGAGAGACAGATGCTGGGAAACTGGCGGCAGAGAAGGCCAACGCTGTGGGAACTGTAGCTGTGTCGCTGGCTGCACCGCCTCCCCAGAACCTGTGGGCCAAATTACAGGAGGTGAGGCTGAAGAACCCCGTCAGCGGCCTCATGGAGTATGCCCAGTATCTGGGCCAGAACTGTGAGTTCCTGCTCCTGGACCAGTCGGGACCCTCTCACGACCCAAGGTTAGTCGCATAATCTGCTCTGTTTGTTTGTGTAAATTAAATTCATCTGTGATCAGATTCATGCAGTGATATTGAAGTTTAACTAGGGATGCAACAGGGCCTTTACTGAGCTCACTTAGTGGATCAGATATTCTTACTCACTGATTTTGTTTGTTTATAGAGGTCATATAGAGGCATCAGTATTAAACTGGGAATGTTTCATAACCAGTTAAAAAATGTTTTTTCTTCTCCTCCCCATGTTTGTTACCTTTTGTAAAGCACCCGGTGATAAACTTATCGATTCAAAGTCTGCAAGAAATAAATCTGCCATAATGAAGACATACGACGCTGCCAATTAAGGATGAAAATGACTTTGCTTGTTATGCAGCACAGTAGTCTCTGAAAATTGTAACTGCTCAGTTAATCACATATTGACAGATCCCTGTGTCTCATCTGTAAATCTTTCTCTCCCTCTGTCAGATTCCGTATGCAGGTGATGCTTAACGAGAGGCTTTTTCCTGTCGCAGAAGCTTCCAGTAAGAAGGTTGCAAAAAAGGACGCTGCTGCGGCCACCCTGCGCATTCTCATAGGAGAGATGCAGGGAGGGGCGAGCACAGGCGACGAGGGAAATGTTGCCAGTTTGGACCCAGTGATTGATCTATTCCAAGAAACCACTGTAAGTTTGTGTTAGAATGTGTGGAAATAAAGCCTCAATCAACCTGAGAAACTAAAAACTGACAAATCTTGCTTTGAATGCCTGAGATTGGTCAGGCACTAAAGACATGAGTAGAGAGCACTATATTTAATACTGTAAACAGTGTCAAGTTTACGAGGTTATGGAGGACAACATTTTGTTTGTGACTATTTTGCAGCCTTCGTAAAAAGTTGGCTATATTATTCAAAAAGAAAGTCACATAATATTTTTTTCTTTTTTTTCCCTTTTTTTTTAAAACTATTTTTTCTTGCTTGTCTACCAGGGGCCAACTGAAGGCATAGGGGGAATTTGTGGGACTGGTAGTGTTGAAGGGATTGGGATGGCGGAAGGACCTCGCCAGCCACTGTCCCGCTCTTTGCCTGGTGGGAAGAATCCAGTGTCTGTCCTGATGGAGTACAGCCAGCGCAGTGGGAACCCCATCGAATTCATCATCACTGGGCAGGCAGGTCCACCACATGACCCAAGGTACTGGCTCTTTTGCTTCCCTCTGAATCTGTCCTTTCAGATGTTGTTCTCCCTCACACTGCAAGTCCTTATGTGGTCGTATATTTCCTCCTCAGGGAAACTGTTGATCAGCTATTTCTGGTTAATCTGTCCTCAGTACTGTAGTCAGCTGACAAAGACACAATACCATCTCTGTCTGGTCACTCTTTACCACTCTTTGGTTTATAATCCCTCCCTTTAGGCAGCCGGCTTGGAGATACAATACAAACTTGTTTGTTTGTGTTTTCCTCCCATCACTTTCTACAAATGCTGCATGCATCTGTCTTGCTCACTGGTACACTATAGGCTCTACTGGTACTGTGACAATGTCGTGTCCATTTCTTTATCTAAATGTGATAACTCCGCAATCTGGAAGTAACTAAACAAAGTGTGACACCATCTATGATCTCAGTTACAAAATCAGAAAAGTCTCCTTTTTAACCTTCTCTATCCCATGTTCAGGTTCATGTACAGGGTGAAGGTCGGAGAGAACTTGTTTTCAGAGGCCTCAGCTCCGAGCAAGAAGGCAGCCCGCCAGCTGGCAGCAGAGGAGGCCGTCAAAGAATTAATGGCTGACGGGAGACTACAACTCAACAAGGTAAGGAGTGAGACGCACAGAACAACTCACGTTTGAGAGGACAGAGAGGGGGTTTTGCAAATCCCCTAATTGAGTGGAATGACTTCAGAAAAACAGATCACTCAGACTGAAAGAATTTATTTTGTCACCTCTGTCACACTGTTCTGCTCCGTTTGCTCAATACCGTTCACATCTCTTTCTTTCTCTTCTCCTACTCCCTTCTTTCTTTTCCAGCCTCAGTTGCCCCTAGGCTCTTCCAGTGATAGTGATGGCAGTGGTTCCGGGACTACATGTCCCTCTTTGCCCCCTCTGACAGCCGATGAGTTGCGAGCAGCGCATGAGGCCGGTGTTGGGGACCTCATCAACCACCTGAACAACAACGCAGTGTCTGGTCTTCTGGAGTACGCTAGAGCCCGGGGCTTTGCTGCTGAGATCAGATTGGTGGGCCAGTCTGGGCCACCACATGAGCCTAAGTATGTGCAAAATGTGTGAAAACACACTGGATAACAAAATATCTTACTTTCCAGGTTACCCCCAAAAATATGTTCTTTATATAGCTGAGAAAAAGTAATTTCTATCATAATTAAATGTCTTGGAACACAAATGAGGCCTTTATGCTTCATTTATCTGGATCTCTTGGTTTTAAAACAACTATAGTTTCCATGGGATATCTGGATCTTTAAGCAAGTGAGAAAACCCTATTAAATCCTTGTCTGATTGCCTTTCTCTTTGCCACACCTTTCCAGGTTCACGTACCAGGCCAAGCTGGGCGGGCGCTGGTTCCCTCCTGTGTGCGCATCCAACAAGAAGCAGGGAAAACAGGAAGCAGCAGATGCTGCACTAAGGGTTCTGATTGGAGAGGCTGAGAGGGCAGCCCGCACTGGGGAGCTTATCCCAGCTGAGGTACTGACCTTCCAATGTTTTCACTTTTTGAATATGCACCTGAATATGCACCAACATCAAAAGAGCCTTCTTTGGCTCAACATGGGCATGAGGCAGCACATAATGGAATTACGGAGGCAATAAAGAGGCTTATTACTTTATAAAAATTTGAGCTTCGTCTGATTGAAGTAAATGTCTGCATGTAATTAGTATACCACCACCGAGCAAAACTGATTCTCTGAAAAAATAACAGGATGAATGCTTATATGCACGCTTAGAATGAGATGATACCCCAGTTAAAATGTAACTAATCTAAAGTCTCAACATATTTGCTGGTTCCCAGTAAATGGATCAGTTCTGTTGACTGGAAGGCTTAAGCTTTGTAGCAGCTATAGGAAATGATGAATTTGTATTGACAGCTTAGAAACATTAAACATACACACATTACAGCTTCTCTGGCAGCCCGATACTGAGGCAGCCTGTCTTAAGATGTGTTTGGATCGTCATAATAATTTAGTGTGATAGTTTTGAGACTGGATTGTACAGTCAAATACATTTCAGAGTATTAAATAATCCTAATTTCCTTTCTATTTTGCCTGTCCTGTCCCTGTATACATCCCTCTCTCTAGCTTCCAGTGAGTGGCAGCACTTTGCATGACCAGATAGCAATGTTGAGTCACCAGCGTTTCAACGCCCTGACCACACGTATCCAGCACAGCCTTCTGGGACGCAAGATTCTGGCCACCATCGTCATGAGGAGGGGGGAGGGCCTAGGGACTGTTGTCAGCCTGGGAACTGGTATATCCATTACCTTTAGAATATAATCTATGAAGCAAAGGGAGGTAGTAATAACATGGAATATAAGGAATTGGTTTGCAGCATAAAAAAATACATTGCCACTACATTTTTCCATGATATGAGGAAGTTTGATTTGAGTTTGTGCTCAGAGGCATGCACTGTCACAGAGTTTAAATAGAACTAGGTCACTGCAGAACCAAGAGGCGTTGAATTGTTGTGTTGTTTGACATTGAATGTGTTTCTCCTTTTTTTTTTTTCTGTCAGGAAATCGCTGTGTTAAAGGGGAGGAGCTGAGCCTTAAAGGGGACACTGTTAATGATTGCCATGCGGAAATCATCTCCAGAAGGGGATTTGTTCGGTAGAAATAGATCTTGCTCTTTATCAATGTTTCTCTCCCAGTTCTGAAAATACCCCGCTCCTCTCCCAGACACGGTCTTCAGGACATTATTTATAAGTCTATCTCACTCACTATCTCTTTTCCTTTTAGGTTTCTGTACAGTGAGCTGCTCAAGTACTATGATGACACAGAAGACAGTATATTTGAGCCAGCGGAGAACAACAAACTGCAAATCAAATCTGACATCACCTTTCACCTCTACATCAGGTGGGAGTATCAGATGTGTTCTTTCTCCTTGTTCACCTCCACCCTTGTTCTCCTCTTTCAATCCTGACCTGTCCGTCACTCCGATACATCAATGTTTCACGTTTGGATCAATGCGCTCTGTGTGTCATATCAATGCCTTATGTCTCTTGTTTCTCTTTTCTCCATAGCACGGCACCTTGTGGGGATGGTGCTCTGTTTGACAAGTCATGCAGTGAGTCAGGGGATGATGTTGAGGGCCATCAGCCTCTGTTTGAGAATGCTAAGCAGGGCAAGCTCCGCACCAAAGTAGAGAACGGTGAGAGATGAGACTGACACACATCGATCTTCACAAATGTAAAGTATATCAGTGCAGTGAATGGAAGTAAATGATTCGACTCCCTGTGACCTTTTTGTCTGTGCGTGTGCTATTGTTTGTGCCAGGCGAGGGCACCATCCCAGTGGAGTCGAGTGCCATTGTGCCCACATGGGACGGCATCCAGCACGGTGAGAGGCTGCGAACCATGAGCTGCAGTGATAAGATCCTGCGCTGGAACGTGTTGGGTCTGCAGGGGGCGCTGCTCACCCATTTCCTGCATCCCATCTACCTGAAGTCCATCACACTTGGTAAACATAGTGTTACATTGTTTTCCCCGGCTGAAAAACCGATAATGTAACAAATATCCATGAGCAGTGAAACTGGATACAATTCCCGCTTTTACGTTGCTTCTTGTCTCACATTTCTGTTCTACAACCCGTCTGTCCTGTCCTGTTCTGATCTGTCAGGCTATCTGTACAGCCACGGCCACCTGACACGTGCAGTTTGCTGTCGGCTTGCCAGAGACGGTGAGGCATTCACCAAAAGTCTCCCTTCTCCCTTCATGCTTAACCACCCAGAGGTAAGTTTTTGGCAATGTCACATGTGGACATTAATCAGGAGTTTTAAGGTCATTCTCACTAAATGAATCAATTAGGCTACCAACACTTCTATTTGTGTCTGCACAACTGTTTCTTTATTGCTCATCTTCTTTAAATTTGGCTCATCCATCAATTAACAAATACAAGGTAGGTCACTGTCATACGCTGGGCACACTGCCTCAGGGGTACAGGAGCTGGCAGTTGAGTGCAATTCACCACAATTTGTTTCCTTGTTTTAGCCCATTTTTTAAAACTTTCTTGGCTTTCATTAACACATCAGTGACTGGTTGAATCTACCATCCTTAATCGAGCAGCCGTCACACTGACACAGGCATTGCACAGCTCATTTTAACATGCTCTGTTTGGAATTGCTGACTCACATTGAAGGGCTAAATAAGCCTGATTGAACTAAATATGCTCCCCTCCCCTTTTCGCCATACCACCTGGTTGGACTGTAGGTGGGCAGGGTGAGTGTGTACGACTCCACACGTCACACAGGCAAGACCAAGGAGTCCAGTGTGAACTGGAGCTTTCCAGACCAGCACAGCGTGGAGGTGCTGGATGGGACCAAAGGCAAACTTGATGGGTATGTAACTAAACACATTGTTTATTTTTAGCTTTGGACTGTTAAGTCTGTTATTGTCCACTCAACAACTTATTATTTAAGGAGTGTGGTGCCGCAAATGAGCTAACAAAACGAAACAGACAGAAGAGAAGTGCTTGAGTACTTTCAGAGCCTGTACTTTTTAACTCACTTTTAGTAGTTTTTGACTACACTGCTCGAGAAAAGAATGTGTGCACTTTGCCATCTCTGAACCCACCACAGATTCAGAGATTTTGAATATAAAGATATTCATGCAGTGGCTCAGTCTTGCCTTAAAAGTTTTTAAAAAGTTTTTAAAAAGTTATTGATCATTGTGGCACCATATCACTGTCAAGAGACATCCCTGGAAATTGTTTCCAGAAAAATTATTTGAAGATATCACAATCAGTCGTTATAATTCAATTTGAGTTAGTACAGTGCATCCCAAATAATCCTAAACTTCTGGTAATACCATATCCTGTGACAAGAAATAGGAGCTGTGGCAAACTATAAATAATTTACAAAAAAAAACACAAACTAATAAAAACCCATGGCAGCATTTTTTTTATTTTGGATAATTTCAAGTGCTCTGTTGTGTTCAGTAAAAACTGTCAAGTAAGCACAAGCCCAATTACATTTTAATTAAATCACCCAAAACAGTGAGCAGCAGGCAGTTAAGTAAGCTAAATAGGAAACACTGCATGATCAGAGGGAAAATGTGTCATGCCAGCTTGCCAGACAAACTATGTTTTCCATGACTGTCACACTTGTTTTTTTTATGAACACTAAAGATCCCTCCAATGTCTTCCCTCTAGGAACAAACTGAGTGTGTCCAGAGTGTCCAAGTCCAACCTGTTCGGTTTGTTCCACTCTATATGCCAGCGGTCTGGTCGTACAGACCTCCTCTCCCTGCCCTCCTACTCCCAGGCCAAGATGTCGGCCATGTCCTTCCAGCTAGCTAAGCAGCAGTTCTTCCGAGCGCTCTCCGTCCACGGCTACGGTGCCTGGATCGGCAAGCCGCTGGAGGAGAAGAGCTTTGAGGCAGGGGAGGGAACTGGAAACAATGGAGCAAGTTTCCCTATAACATACCCCAGCAGTAGAAACGGAGGCGCAATGGAGTACAAGCAAGAGGAGGCGTAGAACAGAGCAGGGTGCATTATTAAAGGGGTAATATAAATATGTGACGGGGGGTGGGCAGAAAAGCACAAGTCAGGGGCAGATTGAAGGAGTGGATGTGAAGAGGGGAAAAAAAGGACAATCAAACAATGCGTAGCCAGCAGCCAGAACTGTATCTTCTGATGGAACATGGTTAAAGGCTGCAGAGGAAGAGTGATGGGAAAGGACAGAATGAATGAGAGGAAGAAGGCAAGGGCAAAGCCTGAAGGATGAGTGGGGTCACAGAGAGCTATGGAGAGATCCACAGGGTGTACAGAATAATGTAAACACTACGTGAAAAAGGACTTAGTTTGAAATCACCATGTTATACACTGCTGCAAATCTGGGTTGTAGTAGGCTGCAAAACAATGACTGTTTGTCAGCTTCCTTTTTATAATGTTTATAACCGGGTTTGTTTCAAATTTTAATTTCAGTTTTTCTTTTGTCATTGTAGCGTTTGGCATATGGTGCCATTATTTTTCCACCATTTGATACGTGAACTAATTTTTTGCAGGCTCTTTGACCATTGCAATTGCCATTAGGACCCAGTTGATTTGGCCTCTTTAGACCACCTAATTTTGCCATGAGAGCTTGAGTAGCTGACAAGTGCTTCTTAATTAGAATTCAACCTAATATGACCCGCCATTGTAGCAGTGCTTGTAATTGTGATTACATTAATTTAGATTTTAAGTCCTCTGTCATGAAGTGCTTATTTTTTGTGCTCCCTATGTTCTACTGCATGGAAATACAAGCAGCTGCTTTTAGCACAGCGAGCAGAAACAATGGGTTGCTCTCAGCGGGAATCATACTTTTTTGAAAATTGCACTCGTTAGATGTCATGAATAAACTCAGCACAGTCCCAGCTTATATTGTACACAAGAGGCTTTCCCTGTACATAAGAATATCAATGCCAACTTTTATTCTGATCAGTGAGTAACCAAGCATTCACTGTCCAATATCGGAGGCTGTAGCCCCTGTACATATTCTGAAGCCTTCAATCAGGCCTCTTTCTGTGTAAAATTTAAAGTTACAGTAGTCAGCTGTCCATGCATCCACATGTTGCTGCTATGGTTCCATTAGCATAGCATTGGTCAGTCTGCCCCTTTGATCAGATCCATCATTTCTCTGTGCTTTTGTGCTTTTATATAGAAATACTGATGTCATTACCTCTGAAGAGTAAAATGTTTCTGTTCTTACGTTGTGTTATTGTTTGTGTGCTTTTGAGTTTTTCCTTTTTTCTTCACTTTCAATAAGTTCATCAGTACCTGGCCATGCTAGCAAGTCCTGGAAAGTCTCAACTGTCCTGCCTGCATATTGTTTTTTTTTTTTTTAACATCTCTATACGAGAAGGCTTTTAGGTTCTCTTGCATGGCCAGTTCTTGAGGACTGCTAAGTGATGACGGTTTTGTTGTCTAAGGAGAGTGTGTAGTCTGTTCTTGAGTTGGTTACGTGTAGATGGTTGGTGCAATATATACATCAGGTATATACAAATACATGAACACACAGATGTACAGTGGGGTCCATAAGCCTGAGTCCAGTTCCAGAAACTTGTGTGTCGAAAGGTAACATAATCCAATAACTAATTTCTTTATGGTTCTTGAATAATGTTTTTATATATATATATATATATATATATATATATATATATATGCAATAAGTAGAAGTATTTAGAGAAAGTCAAGATTTCTCAGTATATGGTCACTGCACTGCACTTGTATTGCACAGAAAGGCTTCAGGTATTTTGATAGAACATGAGAATCCATATTATCCAAGCACTCCTTAAGAGCATGTCAGAGATGTATTGTCATGTTACATTTTAACATGACGAAAAGCCACACTCCATTGTCCTGCTGGAAACAATCTTTTTTTCAAACCATTTTAAGCTTGAAGGGATGATATGCCTCTGTTGAATGGCACCTGTCTTCAGCAGTGAGATATATATATATATATATATATATATATATATATATATATATATATATATATATATATATATATATATATATATATTACACTATTGTTTAACCCTTAATAAAGACTTAAACAAGTGAAAAGTATTTTCTCAGCAGAAGTCCTTTATTAAATCACAGCACTAGCTGCCAAAGGCTTTTTAGTATTTATTGCATTTCTTTAAATAATACATTATTTTTATTGTCAGCGCTGCATACATTTGAATGAAAGCATAAAAGAAGATTTTATTAGTTCTATCATTTTTATCATTAAAACGTACAGTTCTTGGTAGTAGACTCAGACTTTTGGACCCCACTGTATTCAAAAATGGATGTTTGAGTAAAATGCTGTATATACAGTATGTCTGTCTGTGTGTGTATGTATATGTATAGGTTTAATGTATATATTTTGTAAATCATCTACAATTGCTTTTTCTATATTTTTTTTCCTGATATTTTAATTCAACTGCAATGGAATCAGCTGTTTTTTTACCAATGATGACGTTTGGAAAGTAAAAAAAATAAAATAAGTAGCATTGTTTCAGTGGAGTGATGTGTTTCTGGTATTTTCTTCATTAGAGTCTGTTATTCTGTCTGTTTTATTTATTGAAAGGTCAGCCTGGAGTGTTACAGATATTTAGAGTCAGCTGTTGAGTTTCACTAAGGGGACTAAAAATGTCTCGCAGTGCCTCTGCTTCTGACTCTTCCTCCATGACAAAGCTTTGGATATTATGTAGGAATAATGACTGGAAAGACTTTCTAACTGAGGTTTGAGTAAGTAGGAGGTGCTAATTTTTACAGCAGGGGCTCCTTATCTTCAGGGTGGCATTTACATCTAGTCTGCCGCCAAATAGCTGCAGAGCCTATTGCAATGCTCCAAAGGATCAGCAGATGGAAATGTGTCCACGCCTTAGGGCCGTGTGTGTGTGTGTGTGTGTGTGTGTGTGTGTGTGTGTGTGTGTGTGTGTGTGTGTGTGTGTGTGTGTGTGTGTGTGTGTGTGTGTGTGGGGTGGGGGTGGGGGTGTGGGTGTGGGTGTGTGTGTGTGGGGGGGTGGGGGTGGGGTGTGGGTGGGGTGTGGGGTGTGGGTGTGTGTGTGTGTGTGTGGGTGGGGGTGGGTGGGGGTGGGTGTGTGTGTGTGTTAGGAGTGGGGAAAGGCTGCAAGAAATCATCCCCAGGTGATCTGATATTCATAGTGGAAGCTATGTCAAAATGTGCCTATTATTGTTATGTGCTATAAAACCATGATACTGGATAGTACTTTAGCACTTCAACAGTGTCTTAATGATGCAGTAACACTTTGAACAAGACATTTAGAGCTGTCGCTCGGTGTGATGTCTCACTGGGAACAAATAGTGATATTCAGTGTCTAATTCTGAATCAGTTCTGGGTAGCATTAGATCCGGTCTTGTCCCCAGTTCAGCAGCAATTGTTTGTCTCAAGTGACAGGACAATGGCAGCAATATTGCCAGCCAATCAGTGTAGTGCCTTGTAAATACTTTTATTGTTAATGCCCCCCAAACAGCCCTGTTTCATTAGAGGAGGACATGTAGCAGTGGAATCCCAACAACTTCTGATAGACATAACAACATCACAGACGTATATTAAAGGAATTCAGTGGTTCTACCAATTAGTATGATAATAGTACTACACTTACAGTTGGAGCTATGAAATCAATCAATGAGGTTCCCTTCAAGTGGGCCATAGTGAGATAAATGTGTGTACATATAGATATGTGTTTGTGGTGTCCAAATGGCCTGTGTGCAATAGTGAGGGTTTGTTTCAATCAGGATCTCCACCCATCAAGTTGGATTCATACTGTCTCCCCCATCGAGTATTTAGATGGTGGGAGGCAGGACTAATGATAGAAGGAGAGGAGTAAAGCACGATGGAGGGGAGGATGGACGAGTGGAAGGGGACTGCATGGAGTGAAATATTAGTCCAGACCGAAGGGCTTAAAGGAGCCAATCGATGCTCTCCAATGGAAATAAATGAAAGGGGGGAAGGAGGGAATACATGAAGCCTGAGTGGGGAGAGAAACGGCTTAGAAGCTAAGCTAAAAACACACAAGATCATGAGAACCTGTGGAGTCTGGTGCAAATTTACAATAGCCATCAAAGGTGTGACAGGAGGGATCAAGCCTGAAGTCCATGAAGCATCGGAAAGGAAAAGAGAGTCCCTGGAAAAGAACCTTGGTACTGTTAGATTAGTATTTTCAGTTTGGTACAACTATTTTATAGCATGGTTCTGGCCATAGTATAAAAATGACACAGTTGTACTACCATTTTATTAGGCTTTGTACAAAATAATGTTCTATGTTAATGGCACAGACAATGTGCCACTACAACTGCTGTGGTACATAATCACAGGCTATAACATGGTGCAGTGATTTAACACTGTCACTGTAGGAGTATGTCCAAATGGAGTACAGTTTTGCAGTTGTGGTGGTCACTGAATAAATGCTACATACTAGGACTGTACTTATATAATACAATGGTATTAAAAACATGAAATATACAGCATTTGCATAATTGTACACATTCATAATGACATTAATTCTGGGAGTGTACCAATAGGTCTGTATGTCATCACTCATTACAATCCTAACAATGCCGGTCAGTCAGTCCACCACTAGGGACCAGTCTGAAAAATCATAAGAACTATTTGATGAATTGCTGTTAAATTTTGTACAGACATTCAGGATCCAGAGAAGATGACTCCTACTGACTGTGGTGATCTTTACCCTAGCGCAACCAACAGGCCGACGTGGGTTTTTACAGAAATATCTCTATTGAATTGATTGCCATGGAATTTGGCACAGATATCCATGTTTCCCAGATGATTAATTCTATTGTCTCATGACTACTTAATCTGTGGCACCACTGGCAAGTCAAAGTTTTTACTTATCTTGTAAAAAATCTCAACATGCACTTGAAATTTGGTACAGATGCCCATGGTGCTCTGATTTTCCTTCTGGCACCACTATGAGTAAGACATTTGTGGGGTTTTTTATTTAACTATTGAGTGGATTGCTGTGAATTTTTGTGAAGATATTCTTTGTCCTCTCAGAAGGAATTGTAATATCTTTGGTCATCCTCAGTCTTTTCATGTAACCATCATCGGGTCAGAATATTAATTTGTCTACGACTTGCAAAGGATAATAAAAATGATGACGTTCGCATCCTCCTCAGCTGTATTTTGTGTTTAGTGCTAAGTAACAAATGCAAACTTGCAAACTAAGTTGGGGAACAACATCAGCAAGTTAGCATTGCCATTGTGAGCATGTTAGCGTGCTGCTGTTTAGCTCAAAGCACCAGTGTGCCTACAGCCTCACAGGCCCACTTGCATTGCTGCAGACTCTTAGCTGTGTTAGGGTATGGTTTGTGACTTGTTTGACTTTTCACACCCTGAGGATTTGTAAAAGTAAATGGATTCTGTGCAATGACTGCAACAGCTAAGCAGAAAAACACCAAAAATGGCCCAAGAGAAGCATTTTACAATACTCACAAGAAGCCATTCCAAGATTTTGGACATTTTAGTGTGAACTTGTTTCCAGAAAAAGCATCAGCAGCAACATATTAAGGAAGACGTATTTCTTTGATTTAATAAAATAAAGGTTTTTGCTGAAATTGACAAAACAATCTCAACTCAAGGTCAGCTTACTCTACAGAATACTGTCAAGCTCAATTTTGAGAAGTCCCAGAGGTGCTCAGAACAATGGCAAGATTGAACATCCACAGTTCCATCGTAACTGAACAATCTCAATCTGCCGACGTGGACCTTGTGGTTCAGTGGAAAGCTCCAGAGCAAAAGGAAAAGAATGAACTGCCTAGCTCAATTTTGAGTTTGGCCGTAATGGTACAATGCATAGTATAATAACAAATGGGAAAAATGAGAACCATGCCATCAGTTCATGTGTGAGGACTACAGTATATTGCTAATATCTTCCATTTACACTACTAGAAAAGTGCCTGATGTGGAAGCCAAAGTCAGAGAGAAGTTTGGTAATGAGGAAAACTTGTGCTGACAAAGATATAATGATGTAAGTGCTGAGGAGCTAGTTTGTTTTTGTTTTGCTTTTTTACTACATTGAGGAAATCTACTTTTAACTTTTCCAATTTTCAATATGGATTTATTTTTTTGTTCTGATGGGGTTTTTTTTGACTACAACAAATAAATGGATGGTTTCTAAATGTAATGGTGTTTATTCTACATATATTGTTTGGTAGCACAAAGCTATAGTTTCCATAATGTCAATTATTGTACACTACAGTGGTTGTACAGCATAGCACCATGGAAGTACAACGGTGTGGTAATTTGGTCACTTCCATGATGGCACAGAACTTTAGATCTAGTAAAACTGACTGTTACTGTATGATGAAACTTTTTTAAGGTATACAGTGTCAGAAAAAGTGTGGCAGGAATCTGGCAGTGTCACTTAGCTGAGGGATAAGAGACAGCTGACTCAGGGAGACTCCCAGACACACACCAACACCAACCCCAGAGAAACTTTACTATCATGCTGACACTTTGAAACTGTAATTAGCTTCTGAACTCTTACTTACTTACTTAACACTTACAAATGTTAGTATCAGGACAGCTGCATACACTTGCAGACATACTTAGCCCATTGCCTCTTCAATCAAAGGTGACACACAGCATACAATATAACATTCCTTTTGTCAAAAGGCTTGAGACTTTGACTCCCTGTTAAAAGAAGCCAACATTTGTCAGAGCCTCACAAAGCTATCACTGCCATTTCAATCAACAGAAGGAAGAGTGCTGTTGGCTGACGGAGGGAACAATCACAGCTTTTTGCAGTTGATCAGTGGTAAGATTCAGGGCCATGGCCTGATTTTAGACATTTGCATTGCTGCGCACATATCAGTCTGGTTAAGGGATTCAAATTTGGTCTGGCATCGTGCTCTCTGGTGACTGTTTCTGCCTTTTGGAGGAACAATCGACCAATCAGAGCTTAGTAGACGAGATTGCAAATGGGCACGCTATCTTCCTACGTACCAAGCTACATTCAGGCCCACAGGGGTTTAAGGCTGAAATCATGAACCACAACATCCATGGATTTAGTCTGGCTGGGGAGCTTTGTTGCATGTTGTTCCTCATTTCTCTGTCCCCAGTTATCTCTCTATTTTCAAACCTCTAATAAAGACATTTAAAAACCTAGCTATATTCATGAAAAATAGTAACAGGTATCAGGAGATTGATGCAGCTATACAAGTTGTTGTAAATCCATGTACAGAAATAACAATTATTAAACAATATACATATATATATATATATATATATATATAATGATTATAATAATGAAGTGAAACTAGATGGCAATTCACTCTGATTATCAGTCTATGGTAGGTCTCCAACTTTCGCTGCGCAGGGCCCTTTTGGCATCTGAGGCAACAAAACCTGGGGAAGCAGCAGAATAGCACATCAAAACACTCTGCGTGCACACACTTGGACATTAGGCTGAATATCAAGCAAGAGGTTGTTCCAGAAGAGTTGGACCAGGAGGAGCAGATGGTTTCCAAGGAGGGAT